TGTTTTCCCCCACAAAGTGGGGAAAACCAAAAAAAAAAAAAAAAAAAAAACAACAAAAAAAAAAAACACACAAAAAAACCCCACTTTGCTGCAGGCTTGGAAAATTCCAGGTTGCCCAGCCCAGAGAGCTCCACAAGCCCCACCAGCCCACTGCCTCATCCTTCAGGATATCCTTCTCACTGCACACTGAGACCGCGAGCAGAAAACCTGGGAGCAAAGCAGCTGTAGGAGTGACCTTTCAGGTTTTTTTTCCCTCTTTGATAACTTAATCTGCAAAATAGGAAAGAAAGTTATCCATACACCTTGTTCTATTGGCCTCTCTCATGCAAGCTGCTTCACAGGTCACCTTGCTGCCACAAGCACCAGCTGCTCTCTTGAAGGTTCTGAGGCTACATGTTAACATGCGAAATACATAAATTCCCTTTTTTCTACAGGTAGGAAAAGAATTATCTCCACCAGTTAATGTACCCCAACACACACACATATAGATACATGTATTATTCAGGCAGGCACCAGCTGCTCTCTTGAAGGTCCTGAGGATACACGTTAACATGCGAAATACCTAAATTCTCTTTTTTCTGCAGGTAGGAAAAGAATTATCTCTACCAGTTAATGCACCCCAACATATGCACACATATAGATACATGTATTATTCAGCTAAAGGGCAAGACAAGAATAAACAAGATATTTGAGCTGCATCTTAAGTGCAGATCAGAAGGAAGGAATCTATTGTGGGTAGAAAAACACAGGTAAAGACAACACATGTATCCTCACATGGACTCTTCTCCTGCCCTAATATAAGCCAAAGGAGCTCCTTTACCTCTCTGAGGCACTGGACACCACAGGTTGCTCCAAATGAGTTGCTCTAGGAGACCTTCTTTGAGAGCAACCCACGGAGCCATGTTTGATATGGAGCCGCCACCTCCATATCCCTCACCCAAGGCACTCAGAAAAGCCCCATCCTCTCCCCACCTAGTGCCTCTCCTCTCTGTAATGCACCTCTGCTATCCTGAGCCAGAAACGGACAGATGACACAGGCACACATTTGTCTGCTGAACGTGGAATACACGCAGACATCTCACACCTCCTCTAACGCCAAGCCAAAATCAACACCTGAAAGAAGTCAGCTCATTAAAACTGAGTGCAGGTGGGAGAAGGAATCCTTCAAAACCTGTTACTTGTGTAATATCCCATCTGCTGTTGTTGCTGAAACTCCTGCCCACAGACTAATGAAGCACTTAAAAAAAAAAAAAAAATGGCAGATTGGAGCCTGTACATCTCATCATTTTCCTCCTAGTAAAATAGATGACTGAGGGCTAAAAAACAAAGCAAGGGCTGCGCTGCCACCACATGGTCATAAGTAGAGATGGAGGGAATTTTAGGATAAAAAAATGCTTACAATTCATAAGGCACCAATTCATTGAGCCTATCAGTTTTATTTATTTTCTTGCCTCTGCAGCTGTGGGTACTGATCCCAAATCCATCCGATAGTTCTCAGGCCATGGAGAAGGTCTGCCCTGCAGCCAAGGTTCAGGGGGCACCCTGCCCTCATATCTCAGCTCTGGGGTACTTTCACCAAGCAGGCAGCAATGCCGGAGCTGCTCAGCTACCCTGCTGTCAAAGACACGGGAAACATGGACTTGGCTTCTGGCCCCATCCTATAAAGCTTCTTGGCCATCATGAGTGGAATCAGAACTGGAAATGTTTTTAAATTTCTTGGAGTGCTGAGGAACAGTAGAGCAATTAGCTACTCCATTTTCCCAGATTTTTTTTTTTCTACAAACAGTAACCATTTTTGCCAGTCTTTCCCCATTTTAGAGGAGCAGTTTCTCAATATCTCTTAAAAATATCTAAATGACACGTTAACCCTTCTCAGAACACAGGGTTTTGTAAAGCCCCATACACATCTTTCTACTGTGAAGTTCAACTCAAAATCTGAAAAACAAATCACAGATGGCTGCTTTAAAAACGCAACAGCAACAGAGTCATCTTAGGGGGAAGTGAGAATATGTCTATCCACATTTACTTATCTTTTTATTAAGTGTGAATAACTTTAAGATATCTGATTAAAAAGAAAATAAAATCTGTAAATAAATCAGGGAAAACTTCCAGTACTCTTATTTTTTGTGACAAATATTTCCAACCGTTAAGAGTCACTTCCAGCCTTTATTAATAAAGAATGACACTGCCTATGTTCTAGCCAAATCATTGTTCAGGGATGTGAAAATCATCACTGAGACACAGAAGTGACAAAAGATTATAATTCCAAAATAGTTAAAGGACAAGTCTTGTGATGATTCAACTATATATCATAAAGGAGGTTATAATTATAATGTTTATTGTCTGTCATGAGAATTTCATTACCCTACAGCTTTAGATAACTTAATAGGTTAAAGACACTGCCTCAGGCATTTAGTGGGATATAGTCCTTGTCTGACATCAGTGAAGTGTGAAAATGGATTCGTTCATGGAACATACTATTTATAGTGGAAAAGGGCTGATTCCCATTATAATATCTACCTCACGCTGTACTTGGCTTATTGTTCCTTGTAATTCTCCAACCATAGACACGGCTACATATCATCCTGTCTCCAGCCTGTCTTAGAGGGAAAGATTTTTGGGATAGGAATATTGGAAAAAGGTTAAGATCTATGAGATAACCAACTCTTCTGGTTTGGGACGGATTAGCTGTGAAGTCCACACCGACCTTCCTGTTTAACATGAAAGGCTACATTCTGCATTTTCACTATTATGACTATCATTTATTTCACCCTGAATCATTTCCATTGACATGTGTCAGTGCTTTATTGTGATGGTTTTGACCTCAGTGAAGAATTCATAGGAATCTTTTGCTCCCTCCCTTCCTACACCCGAGGCCTTCATCCCACCAAATGGCAAATTCAGGTCTCTAACAAGCCAGCAGTTGGTCCACACCAACCCAGACTGGAGTCTTTGTGCCACCCGGTGAACGCGGCTCACATTGCTGGACCACACAGTGGCTGCCAAGCCATATTTGACACCATTGGCTCTTTCAATCGCTTCCTCTTCTGTATCAAACGCTACCACACATGTTACAGGACCAAAGATCTCTTCTTGCATGCAACAAGATTCATCCTTGATTTCTGTAATAACTGTGGGCAGCATGAAATATCCTTTCTGGTTGCCAGCTGAGAGAGTTAAGGAATCCACTCCCTCTCCACAGAGGATCTTGGCTCCTTCAGCCTGAGCTTTCTTCACATAATTCCTTACCTGGGGAAGTAGCAGAAAAACATCAGTGCTAAGACAAAACCTACTTCTGAGATTTCATCTTTCCAGGCTGGATAAAAGATGAGAGCAGCTAAGCTTCATGTGACATCACCTTTTCGAGATGCTCTTTACTTATGAGTGCTCCCACGTTGACAGTAGGATCTGAAGGGTTTCCAACCTTCCACTTCTTAGTCTCTGCTACAAACCTCTTCAAAAACTCATTATATATGCCCTTCTGAACAAAGATCCTGGAGGTGCAGAGACAGATCTCACCCTACCACAAAAAAAAAAAAAAATCTGTTCACAACACCTTCTATTACTGACAATTATTAGCAGTTAATTCCCCAAAATGATACATGTGTCCTGCATCCTCGGGAGAGGTACATCTTTGGCAAAGCTCTGCCTTTTAATTTATTTCCAGCATGTCAACTTGAAGCTAGAATTGTAAAGCACCTACTTCCTTGAATGAATATCAAGTGTTATCTGTACGTGAGCCTAACGACATTTTGTTGCCTTACAAATGCCTAGGAAGGATCATATTCCTTATTATTTTGCTTCCCTGTTTCTAGGAAAAAGAATATGATCTCCCGTTTTTCCACTTACGGCTTGCTGACAAGACAGGATCCTAAAGCAAACCTTGATGGTTTAGGATGTGGATTCAGAGGCATGTGCACACCTCCCCAGCACTCCTTCCATAAGCACCATTCAGAATGGAGAGGTACCTGGTTGGCAAAGCTGGACCGCACCGTGGCAGGGACACATTGGCTCAAGTCAGCGTCATCAAAGATGAGGGCAGGATTTTTACCTCCCAGCTCCAGCGAAAGCTTTTTGCAATGAGGAGCACTTTTCTCTGTGATACGCTGGGCCGTGAGCGTGCTCCCGGTGAAGGAGATCAGCGGCACGTCGGGATGGCACACGATGGCTTCTCCTGCCTTGGAGCCCGTTCCAAACACCACGTTCACCACCCCATGTGGCATTCCTCATGGAAAGAAAGGCACAAAGTGACCATACCTTCAATTCATTGTGTGTCTTTGAAGTTATGATGTTACTAATAGTTCCAGAGAAACAAAGATTCATCCCTAACTTACAGGGTAGCCGGAATACATAATGCTTGATAACTTTGAAGGGCATGGATTGAAAGACAAAAAATAATTTCATTGATATATCACAGTTGCCTAATATCCATCATCAGAGGTTCATTTTTTAGTTATTATGTCCTGGGGCAAAAGCAGGTATCCTCCAGATTCTTTTTAATAGTTCCTGCAGACCAAATACAATGTTGACACAGGAACCAAGAGCTGGTTGTCACTGTCTCACTCTCCTGTGGTTCCCTGTGCTGGCTCTGTGGATGTGGGGAATCCTTATGGAGAATGCAGGAGTGGGGAAGGAGACACAAAAAGATAGTGCGAAAAATGGGAAATAGCTTGGGATGGAAAGATGGAATAGCATGAACACAAGAACAAAATTTTCAGTTCTCCAATGCAATATTCAACTACAGTAGACAGCTTTTCTCGATTCTTTGCATGCTTTCTGATTTTGAGAGGAAACAGTGCCTGAATCAGCAGACCCACCTCAACCACAATCCCTAACACAAAGGGATTTACCTGCTTTTTCAAAGAGCTTACACATCATCCAAGCTGTGACGGATGTCATCTCACTTGGCTTGGCAACCACAGTATTTCCACATGCAATGGCAGGAGCTATTTTCCATGTCAACAAGTATAGTGGCAAATTCCAAGGACTGATTAAACCAGCTACATAACAAAGGACCCAAAAATGGAAATTCAGTCTTATTGCAATCGGAAATTTGATTCTCTAATCTCAGTTATAAAACAAGTATAAACCAATGGAGATTTATTGGCTATAAACCAATGGAGGGAAATTGGCTATGGCTTTTTACATTCATACAACTGTGCAAGAAAACCACAGCCAAGATTATATCTCATAAACAATAATTTTAAAAGATTCGTCTAAATTATCCTGATGATCTGTACCCTCTAAGTGAATTTTGCTGCTGTTTTGGAGAAGAATCTTATGTTCCCCATTTGATTTTTAGTGTTTTCTAGGAACATTAACACAAGGCTAGCCACTCAGACTATTTACACCAATTAGTCTGGGGTAATATCCTGTGTGCAAATTCTAACAGACAACAGCAACAGTTAAAGCAGTGGTTAGCTCAGCCCATTCTTCCTTCTGTATTTTTTTTTAATTAAAATATATGGTGCATATTTTCCTGAAAAATTCTAGCCAAAATGATTACAGTACAAATTGCTATTTTCACAAATTACTGAATCACACACACAAAAAAAGTTCAGTAGTTGCCTTTGGGAATATTTTTTCCTATGCATTGGTAGCAAATAGTGCAAAACAAGCTGTGACTGGCAGGTATAGCTGCTCAAAAACTTAATTCTTTGGTGTTTGACTGTGCAGACACAAGAAAGGAGCTTCAGAATTTGAGCAACCTTTTTTTTTGAATGACAGTAAATTATATGTTCCCCATTTGTCACAGAAACTGTTAAAAGAGTCCTCTGGCTTAGCTGATTTTATTCTTGAGAATAATTCAAATAATAATTTGGACCATTCATACATAATTGTATAAAATACATAACACAATCATGAACGCGTCACTTATGCTGAGCATAGGGAGCATTTCTGAAACAACAGCAACATCTAGTGGCTGGCTTCAGCAATTCCCCAATCAAAAAGGGTTCAAACATCTGTCTATAGCCAGACAGGCTGAAATGTCCAATTGCGTATACTACTGCTGCTCCCCAAAGCCAAGAAGGATTTAGCTATCACAGCAGAAGCTGCAGCTAAGGGTTCTGAAAATCCTATTTCTCCACAGCAGTAATGCGTAGTTATGCACACAGGCAAATATGCACAAAATACAAGAGAAATTTGGAAAGTGGGAGCTACTGAGGAAAAAAAAAAAAAAGTGAATTATCCAAGTAGCATAAATTATTTTACATTAAGTTGCTCATGCTTTAGCAGACTGGCCATATTTAACATGAAATTCAGAGACAGCAGAAGTTAGCTTTGGAAAAGCTCTTTTCCAAAGCTCCTCTTTCGTTTTTGACCTCCCTTCAGGGCAGACAGGCCGCCAACCCTTCCAGCGCTCCGGGTTTGCCTTACCGACCCCGACGGGTGTCCTCGAGGTGTAGTGCAGGCAGCCCCCGGCTGCCGCCGCGGCGCACTCCGCCGTGCGGTGAAGGACGGAAGAGGCGAAGAAGCGGAGGTTGTACACTGCCCGCGGGATGTCCACTGTCCTAGCAAATGCTATAGTTTTGCCTGAAATGTAAAGCAAGCGCACTGCTGTATTGCCGCGGGCAGAACGGGGCCCACCTGAACACCACTGCTCTGAAAACTACAGCTTGCATTCGTAAGGGAAACTGTCTTTTCTTCTCTGCCCGTCCCTGACACAGTGTAGTCACACGCCATGAAAACAGCTTCCTTTTCTAGAGCATTACAAGAATGTAACGATTGAAGTCAGCATGTAGAAATGCTGAAAAGCAAGACTTAAATTGCCACAGGAATACAAAAATCAATGACAGCTTCTACAGTAAAAGTTATTAATTAACAGTTACGAGTGCACATCAACTGGCAGTTGCACTAACACTTTACACTATAGCAAAAAAGAGGATCAGACCCTCAATTTTGATAATCAGCAATGCACTCATTTTCTCAGGATCTGGGATCAACAACTGCAACTTTTACCCTGATCCTTTGACTCGGCTTGTGCAAATGCTTCTAGATCCTGTTCAATCAGGTCTGCCAGTTTGTTCAGGATCTGAGATCTTTCCCATGGACTTTTTGAGGACCAAATTGGGAAGGCATCTTTGGCAGCTCTGACAGCAGCTTCCACCTAAAAAAGTGAAGCAGAGATGGCAAATATTCACAGAGAGTTTTAGACACAGCTTCAAGCAATCAGCAGATCAACTCATTTAAGGCGTTACTAATGCATAAGCATTAAGGTGGAGTTAACATAATACTAACATAATGCTAACAAAAGCATTAAGGTGGACTTTTAGTTTAAGACATTTCTCTACTTGGTTTCTCATTATTTTTATTAATAAATTTCTTCACCCTAGGGAAAGCTTCCCTGGTCAGTAGCTAAGAGGACATTGATATATTAAATGATTCTGGCCTGTTACTAATGTTGTCATATCACTGATTCCTGTGCAATCACCAAATATTCCTTTTTATCCGTTCTGCAAATCTGAATTCCAAAATTGTTCCTTCATATTGTGACAAATATTGTTCATATTTGTGTCTGCAAATCAGACTTTATAGTCTACCTAAAAATAAGAGCCAAAGACGAAAGGACAGAGAGATATCGGTATGAAGGGCAAGGCAGGAAATAAACCAACACACATAAGGTCACACAGACCACTGGTCAAGCCCAGAAACCTAGAATTTACTCTTTCAACCACAGACCAAAAACCTGCAGCTCAGGGGTTGAAGTCTGCAGGCCATCAGCTACTGAACAGCTGGAGCAGGGGCAAAACTGGTCTGCAAAAAAAGACAACCTTTTTTGTCCCACATCTCATGTGTTGATCGAGCCAGGTATGAACAACAGGAGCTTCTGGAGCCTGAGCCCCTGACTTCTACATGCAGCAGGACAGAGAAGCTTCTACCTCATGTAGAGGCAAGAGGTGATTGAACCAGGCAGAGCTTCCCAGCTCTGTAAAGAAACTCAGTGGAATACATACCTACAACCTCATAAAGAAAAGTCTGATATGGCACACTGCCCTGGAAACATCTATACCTCCCCTACAAATTAACCTGTTTTTCCCTCGTTCTGTCATTAGGTGCCATTGTGGTGCTGCATCTCATCTACTTTCCTCTTTGCTGCCTCTTCCACCTGGTGCTGCATGCTTCAAAAGAAATGCTTGATAGACAGCAGAGAGAAAATTAGTAGAGCAAGGAATGAAGTGGCAGTAGATTGATTCAAAAAAAGTAAGTGGAAAAAAACAGAGACTTGTGCAGAAGAACTCTGAGGGAAGACATGTTACACGATTACTTAGTTTGACTAACAAAAAGAAGCAAAGAAAGTCAAGCCATAAAGAAAATATGCATAAGAATTCAGCTATAAACTTTTGTCTGAAACACTTCCTCCTGCACATGAAAGACTAAACACCAAAGAACATACAATTCAGAACTATCAAAAAGGTTAATACTAAAATACATTATACATTACACATTATACAAGAGCATTCATTCTCAGGATATTGTTTGTTTTTTTTCTGATAGATGATGCAGATGAGCAATCTCTCCTTTAAAGGGAGGTTTTCCAGGCCTAATTAGCCATCAGAATCCTGCATTTTGAAAATAAAAGCAGCTACTTAACCTGTTTTGATGCTGGCTGTCTAGAGCTCAGGTCATCCATCTAAGGGATACAGGAAAATCCTGAAAAACATTGAGGTGGGATTCTACCACTGAAATGGCCAGTGCAGCTGACCGAGTTTTAAATTCTGGGGTCAAGAACAGATTCTGACTGGTTCCTATTTTGCCTTCTACTTTCCAATGAAACCAACCAAAATGACATCGATTCTTGGTAGAAACTAGCAGCCTGAGTGCTTTGTTGAACATAAACCTCCACATTCATTTTGCAATATGGGACTGCTCTTCAGTATATTCCATTAAGCATCAGTGGATATCAGTTCTGCAGAAACCTCCCTTTTTGTGCAGCTAAGAGAAGGAATAAACTGTTTTCATAGGTGTTTAAATTTAGTTCCAGATCCCCACAAAACCACTAACTTAGAAAGATAAAAGATAAAAAAAAAAAAAAAAAAGCATCATTCTTTATATACCTGTTACTTTATGTTCATTAGGACTATAGTGCAGAATGGTTGGTAGCCTATTTTTGTAGGCTGTTCTTGCACTCTCACAAGTCTCCCATTTTAATGATTCTGCAAATAAACAGGGAGATTTGCACCTGCACATCAAAGAAAAGTCTTTGCAGGCATAAAGACTTTTGCAATGAACTTGCACAAATGTATTCTAGCGAATCCAACCTGTTACACTTTAACCCTTGATCATCAACATCTATCAAATATTTACCCAACTGAAATTACAGTGCAAAGGTTTCTGCTGAGGGAAGCAAAAAGCGAATGGTCAACAAGACTGAAATGCAATGAAGTGAACAAGTACACACAGATGCAGCTTTTTTACAAGAATATTTTGAAAATGAAATAAGGCTGGACATTATTAGCCAACATTTTCCAAGCCTTTAGTATGATCCAACATTTCCAGCCATTTCTTCCCATAACGAACCCGAAACACTACAGTAGACACACTCTTTTCAGTCACTTAGGAGAAGCATCAATGAAATTGCAGTTCCCAAAATGAGTTACCTATTGCCCTACCTCACTTGAACACAAAAGACATTCATCTCAATGGGGAGTGCAGGACCAAAAACACTGCATGGCTGCTCCTGCTGATTGATGAAGACATCAAGCTACATTATAAAGGAACATACACTCATCGCAGCCAGTTCCTCACCCACGCTTAACATCCAGCTCCAAATTTCAAAACCAAAAAGGACTGGAAGGTTCCAACCTTCCATATTTTCCTTCAATGTTTTAAGGAAGAGCCAACAAGACAAAAGCCTTTTAAATGACAACAGCAAACAATTGAGACACTGGAAGAGAACACCTTTGTTTGGATACAGAAGAGGCCAATAAACCCTCTCTCTCTCTTCCAGAGCTCTTTATACTTACAGCCATTACAAGTATTACTGGTAATGCCTGTACGAAGCTTTTCTTTCTTATGCAAGCTGAAAGAGCTACACTACAACTGACTTAACTGAAGCTCTTTTGATTTACACTAGCTTAAGAATCAGTCTGTTCCTTTCTAACTGCAAAACGTAAAAAAAGTAAAAATAGAGGTATTTGTTGCAGCAGCAATAAAACGACATTGTCATACAGTCAAGAACTTAGTCATTTAAATGTTAAGGGGTTAAATGTTTTTCTAGTCTCTCACCTTTCACACTCCCCCACTCAAAACATTCACACTATTCGCATTTTACACTCTCTTTTTACTTTCTTGTACATTTGGATACTACTCACCTCTTCTTTGCCACTGTCTGGCACCCTGCAGTAGACATCTCCTGTTGACGGATTATAGGAGTCTATGTAGGACGAACAGGGAACAAATCTGCCAGCTATAAAGTTTTCCAGCACTAAAAGAGTCTTTGAGGAAGACATGGTTAGTAGCTTGCTTTATCTATGATTTTTTTCCTAAGAGGTGTCAGTTTAGATTAGTAGTTTTGTATTATTTGCACTGCTAGCTGAACTCCTCCCTCTCTCTCTCTCCGTCTTCTCTGCATCGCTCACTCAAAAGTGGGAAGGAGCCCCAGCAGCAACAGCAGAAACAAAGAGGAAAGGAGGAATAATTGCCAGGTCTGTGATACTTGTTTTTTTCCTCACAGTTTCAAGCACAGAGGCAGAATAAGTTAATATCTTAAAAATCTGCTCTTCTGCATGTACAGAAAGCAAAACACTAAAGAAGGTAGGAAAATAATGGCTTGGCACAGAAATTTATTTCTGTAGCAGTTGTTAAAGGTACAGAAAGTTATTTTGTAACTATTGTTATCAAGTAATTCAGCACCTTCAAGCCCAGCCCGGAACCCACCGTCTGCCACCAGACAACATATAGCGGAGGTGCTTTGACTGCCATGTCTGTAGCTCATTTACTGCTTTGTCATGAATATTTTTGACTGTAATCTTTTTCAATCAGAATAATCCCCAAGACATTAACCAGTACAAGAGGCTGAGGCTTCATTTAAAAAATGATGAGGAGTTGCACTATCCTACACAACACCCTCGCCAGCATACTGTTTAAATTTAGTTTTTGAAAAAGAAGCTAACAGGGGCTTTTCCTGGAATGGAAAGCATGATATTCCAGTGGAAATCATCTTACTAATGTTACACACAGAATTCTGTTAGTCAAGTTTTGCTTTGACATCCCAAGAACCTGAAATCCCTGTAATACAGCAGCCAGAAGATATTTCTCTTCAAGATATATTTTTTTAGATTCCTATAAATTGTTCAAGACTGTCTATCATCCCTGCATTACCCATTTATTCCAACCATCATTGCCATTTTCAAGAGCAGTATTTTAATCCCAGGAGACTGAACATGTAGATCAGCAGTTTATGAGGTTTTCAGACCCTAGACCAGTGTCAACTCATAAAACTTCTTGTGGATCAACATGGAACTGCAATTTGATTGAATAAAGGTGATATGGCTTTATTGCCCAATAACAAATCTATTCATCAACCATCTGAGGCCTCTGGGCAGAGCTCAGATCGATGTTGAAAGATAGGGCAGCCTTGTGTTAAAACTATAATATTGGGGAATACCTCTAGCTATCCCAAGCTACAAATCAGGAAACCATGAAATAGTTTTTCTAGTCACAGAGTACAGAGCCTCATAATTTATCATGCATCCATATGTGAATGGGGTTATTGGAAGCTCATTTTCAGAATTGTGATTTCTTACACATAAGCAAAAAGAGTTATGCTGAAGTCTTAAAATTGAAGAAACATTCTTCGACTTCCAGCGTTTTAGCTGTCCCTTGACTTAAAACCAATTTAAACATTTTTTAAATTTGAAGGCAAGTTCAAGTGGAGCAGGTTCAACACAAAAGTTTGGCAGCAGCAAGTTCTGGAATCCTACAAACACAGAAACCTTTATGCCTGTCTTGTAAGCACTGGGAAGTATTTAAATAAAACTTACAGACTGTGAGAAGTAACAAATAGTACATAATTCATAGGATAGCTTCAGTTTGGGCAGTAACAGTTTTGATATAGTTCATTTGTAAGATCTGACATCAGTTCATTTCAACATACAGCATTACTGATACTTCCACAAACATGCATGCAGTCAACAGCACAATTTACATAAGTCAAGTGCATGTATATGATGAACTGGAGCTAAGCACGTGACTACAAAAAAGTAACCTCTCACCAGGACAAGCACGAATGCATGACTTTGCACTAAACAGAGGTCATAATTTTCTGTGCTCTTCACTACACAAGGGGTGGCTATATTTCAGTAAACTGAAATGACTGATGCTTTGAAGCGAGTATTTTAGTTCTTCCCCTGCACTATAACACAGGATAAAAATTATAGTCTTCTCCATACTGCACTCATATATATGGTTCCCAAGATATATGGGATCTTCTCTCAGTTCCTATAAAAACCTTCAAAGTTGTTGGAAAATGTGCCTCTCCTGGATTGAAGCTGGAGATGGCAGAAAGGCCTGATAGGATTTATCTGTCAAGTGGTTAAATCTGTCCTCTTACTGAAAAATGGGAAGGAGTTACAGGCTTCAGGAAGCACAATAATCTGATTTAAGCATATATTCCAAAATTAACTACCCAACTGGTGTTCAAAAGATCACGAATTCGGAGACTGTAAAGTACACAAACATGAGTTGAAAATTAATTCCATAGAAAGAAGCCATAGGCCAGTTTCTCATCTTGGCTCACTAACTCACATATGGAAATCAATAAATGATTTAACAGAGTTTAGAAGTATTTAAATAAGACATCAAGAAGGCAAAAAATATGCTCAAAGCTATTTTATTATTCTTACATTTTAAAAAATAAAATTAGCCAATGTTGGCACAGCTTCCACTACACCGCAAAAGAAACTTTAAATAAATTTGGGGATAGAAAAAAACAATCCTAAGGTAACACTACATGCCATTTTCTGCAAGTATATAGTTCTTTTTTCCCTGAATATGCATTCAACTCAAACCTCAAAATATATTAGACCAATTAAGTTACTTTACTGAATTAAATGTGCAGCAAAAAAGCAAATCAAAGAAAATATGTAAACAATTTATGGCTGGAAGAAGTTTGTTTCATGATAATTCATCATCTTATTCTCTAATTGAACTTTCTAAGCATGTTTCCATCAGGTTCTTTAAGGGGTAATTCCACATGGAGAAACACATGGACTTTTGAGATGAGAAAGTGCAAAATTAACAATTCCTTGTCAGTTGGCATCTTGCTCTGCAGTGGGAGAGACTGATGAAGGGCTCCCCAGAAATCTAATATGATATGACTTTTGTCATCACGTTTTGCCCCCAGTTAGCTGCACTTGTTCCTTCGACTGAAGTAACTGGATTCTTAAAAGTGTGGATATCTGACTGCATTTTGGTTGGATTGCGGAAGTTCTGGATCTGCTGTCATTCTTTAATCTATAAACAAAAGCAAAAGAAAGAAATCCATTGAAAAATAAAGTTCTAAACAGTCACAGATTTTTCATGTGCTTCAAAGCACAGTCAATTGATGCACAAAATTCCTTCTGCTCTGACATTCTCTGGAACAAGATTGCAGGTACTAAGTAGTAATTCCCAGAGAATAGTTAAAGAGTTATTCAGTCCCCAGTTCTACAAACATCAAGCATCACAGATTTAAATAAGACCTATTCACTTGAAGTTAAATCTAAGCATAAACGGGTACAAGATTAAAGCCTGATTCTGGATGCTGTTTTAGACAATGTGAGATTATATTTCTCTCCATCGTACCTAAAGTTTTAACTTAAGTTCTGATCCAAAAATAATAGCAAGATTTTGAAAATAATAGAAGGACATTTTTATTTTATTCTATTAGAAGGTGAAACATTGGTATTTACCTCCACAATATGTGCCTTCTCCCACTGAAATTGGACCAGAAAATATCTACAGACATCAGTAATAATCAAATGCATAGCTACTTTTAACATTGACAAAGTAAAATATGGCACAAAAACTAGCAACAGCAAAAATAGCTAACATTTCTTATTTACAAACATCTTTTGACACACAGTTTGATTTCAGAACAGCAGATGTATTATTAAAATCCTGAAGGGTTATTTTTAACTGGAGAGAGAAAAAAAAAATCAGAAGTTCTAAACAGATGCTTCTTGAACACAACTGTGACAAGCTTCCCATACAGTCTTTTTTTCAAAAGAATAAATTTACTTTTCAAGTCAAAGGGTGTAAAATCAAATAGGACTTAATTATAAAAACGTTATGTCATGCATGGTGAGTGTAGAGAAAGCCATAAGAGCATCATACCTCTGTGATAACTCCTGCAGCAATAGTGGAACCACCGTAGCGTAACATAAACCTCCCCAGCTCTTTAAAATCCTTATATAACTCTAGAGCTACAGGCCTTTGAGTTTGTAGTTCTATTAAAGCATTCTGTCCTTTAGTCAGTAACCTGCAGGGTTAAATAAGCAGAAAATCCTATTGCTAATTCATATATGCATTAATTTAAAAAGAGAACAATGAATAAAGGACAAAAATCATCCTGTAAAGCCAAAAGAAATTACAATGACCAAGGTCAATCTCAAGCAAAACAAAGGCCACAGGACTGAAAACACATTTGCCTGCAACATACCTTTTTAAAAGACATTTGTGTTTGTTTTAAAACTTTCCAGGGACACACTTGGCAAATTGTTTCGAAGTTAATTATCCCATTTAGTAACTACTTTTTACATCCAGTGCAACTCTGTCTTGTTTCAAACCCAGTCCTAACAACTAAAGAGGATGTGGGGTTCATTTACTTCACCAGCTCATTATTTTGTGGAAGTCATTCTTTTCCCACTTCCTTCCCATTACCTGTCAGCAACAACTTTAGCCACGCATTTTTTGGCAAAGGATTTTTCTGATTTTGTTACAGCTCTCAAATAGCACTTCAACCCAAAGACAGCTTTAAATCATAGTGGGATGTTCCCATAGCTTAACTGCTGGAAGAAGACAGATTCAGAGAAACCTAAATCTGTTGTTGTTCTCCAGCCTCACTGCCTAGCAGAGTTTATTTTAGGCAGTAACACACTTTCGGATTTATACCAGGAATCCCCCCGGAATGTAATGACAAAGGTATTTCTTATCCCCTTTAAAGTACAGGGCTGTTGACCTGGAATTGATTCCTGACCCTGCAAGACACCTTAGGCAAGTCATTTTACTTCTTGGGTCATCAGTACTTAGTAAGTGGGTATAAGTAGTTCCCCTTTATAAAGCACTCTAAAAAAAAAAAAAAAGTGAAAGCAATCCAAAAGGAAAATATACTTTCATCTCCTTATTGCTTCATAATAGAACCTACTTGATTTGCCACACATTAACCAAAACTCAGCTGCCCATTCCTCTGCTAATTATTAACTACTCAACACACTTACTTCGGTTTTTTCTTTGTCACTTCACCAGTGCTTTTGTGCAGGACGCTCAATAATCTTCTAATAGTAGCAGGTTCGCTTACGGTTTGATAGTGTA